CAAGCCTGATGCTGAACTCAGATCCCAATGGGGCATTCGGAGCTTTATAGTTCCTCATAATCATGGCATCGGATAGGATAACAAATGCTTCCGATTCCTCTATCTGTCTGACTGTGGGTCGTTCCGCGGTAGTAGGTAAACCGTCAGAATGTCGAGTATTCTGTGAACTCTAGGGTTCTGAAAGTGAATTCAATGGCGTCAGTGTTTCTTGCGAGATTTCCATTTTTTCTGACAAGGACAGGTCATGTCTGACACAAGTTAACACACCCGCCTGCGGAAAATTCAATTTATAAACTGTTTTCTTGAGCGTGTTCTTCACAACGCCGCCCATCTAGCCTCTCCCACAATCTGGCATTAAAGCGCAGTCAAAAAACTTGTTAGTTTTTTCGTTTTACACCGGTATGCACCATCGCAAGGGGTCCCGTTGATTTCCGTTCTCGGTTGATTGAAAAAGCGTTCATCCTTTCTGTCTTACTCTGCCACACCCCCTTTGCATCATCATCCTTTATCAATTTTAACAGTGTTATTTTCTCGAAATTTATGGCGCGATCATTGTGAATTATGCAGGACTATAAGAAGACCCAGAAAATTACCTGGCTTGCCGATCCTTCGCACTGTTCTGATCTTCGGGCAGAATTGACCCAGCTTACTCCGCTCACCTGCGTGACCTACGGTAATTTGATATCGAAGACCATTTTAGGCAAGGAGGACGACTTCAAGCAGTTTGTTAACCCAGACTCCGTGGTACGTTTTCCTGTTGACTCTATATTATTGAAAAAAATACTTCCTACTGACAAACATTTAGTAGGTAAATGTATTCCAACCTGATTGTAAACATTTGGTTGACTGACCTCGTTCCCCTTGATTTTTATTTTCGATTCGTAGAAGGAGGAGAGCTACCTGGGTGACCCTCAGTTGCGTAACCTCAAGCGGGGTGATATTATTCAACTCCAACGCAAGGGCTTCTACATCTGCGACGAACCCTACCGAGCCTCCCAGTAAGTCGGCAATCAGATTACCTACATTTTCTTACTTAGTTCCGTCTTCACCCTTTATGTCAGGAAGTGGGACTTACAGTTGCTTTTTTCTCGATAACACTGACGTGCAAAAGTATCGAGAGTTTGATATCCCGTCGGCGGAGTTGATCGTTGGTACTTTTGCCTGCGTTTCCAATGGGCTTCATAGTGCACAGTCAACTTCGAACTAGTCACAAGCCAGGTCGTTATAAGGCGTCCCTTCTGCTTTCCATAGCTTGATAGCCATTAATGGCCTAAATTTGGAGTCAGCAAACGTTCCCTCGTTCATGCATTGTTTTACCTCCTAATCCAGTGAATAGCGCTTAGGTCTCCGTTGTGAACTCTTTTTGCATTTTCAGTAGCGCGACTTTCCCTCCTTTTAGTTAAATTCCGCCAATATAAGGTCGAATCACTAGGCATCAGTTTCCTGAGCAACAGGAGTTCACGTTGGTGGAGTTTATTATATTTAGCTCATTAAAAAAATTATAAGCAGTTTTAATTTAATGTTATTTGATAAGTTTTAGCATAACTAAATGTTCATTTACGCTCGCAAACCAAGGATTATATGTTTAATCACAAATTTCATAAGACAGATGGGCGGGAAAAATATATATTTAGGCGACCCTACAGGACAGTTTTGCCCCTTTTTAACATCATGCAAACCCTCAATAACTCACGTCTCCTCTTTCCTCCCCCCCCCTGCCTGTCTTGTAGTCCTGCAACTGGTCGCGAGTCGCCCTGTGTCCTGATCTACATCCCCGACGGTGCCACCAGGACTCGCCCGACCGCTGGCTCCAAATTCAAGGCCGGGGATGAACCACAAGCGGAGCAGGTCAGTGCAACGCCTTTTCACCATGGGATGCTCAAGTGATTTTTTCTGTAGCTTGTTTACAGCCCCAATTGACATCCGCCTCCTTTCGGACGCTGGAGACGCGGCTGTCGCCTGTAGTATATACTTTTGCATCCTGACCTGAGCTATTTTATGGTTTGTGAATGTTTCATCTCAGCGCTGTATATGGTAGATTGTCATGCCTGCCGATTCTTAGTGAAGAGTTTCTGGAGCTTTCGATTGAGATATCTTTTCCCATATACATATACATTTTAAGTCATTTATGTTATAATAATAGTCATTATTAATAGGGATTTGGTGGAGTTTGTTTGGTCAAATTGGGAAATATTGGGTGAGATTCGAGCCCACAATAGCAAGAGCAACGCAACAACCTAACCAGCTAAGGTGGAGGACCCAATCGGACAGATAAATAACACAAAATCCTCCTCGTGGTAGTAATCTGGTGGGTTTTAGACCGATTACGTAGGAAATCCTGCTGGACCAGTCAGTTTGCTTTTTAAGATTTGAAGGATTCCGTACATTGCAGTAGGCTGGGCAGGTGACTTGACCCAAATGTGATCCCACTAACGGCTCTCGGTGGGGTCTTGTAGCCTAAGTAGTTGGAGCGCTGACTGTACTCACGCCTCGCCCTTAATGTCTTGGGTTCGAGTCCCACCCAGGGGGGCGGCGAGTTTTCCTTACCTGTGTCAAGTGAAAATCGACACTGCTGGTGATGGTGGGGTCGGCGGTGATGATGATGATGATCTACAGGGTCTATGCCGGTTGGGTGTCATCAACTTTTGCTTCTTATCCGTCTCTATACATCTGGTATATTCGTTTTTCTGTGTGGTCGAGGACTGCTTCACGCCTTAATGACTTGGGTTAAAGTCCCACCTAGGGGGCTCGGCGGGTTTTCCTTAGGCGTGCGTCAAGTGAAAAGTCACACTGCTGTCTACCATATTAGGGCGGCCTAACAACAGCCTTCGCAAACAGTAGTTTGCGAACCATAGCCGCGTCCATAATAGGCTATCGATCGGCCTATGCGCGAGCTAACACTTCGGGCTAGACAATCAATCGATAATTTGAATTTCTGGCTGCATTCACTCACTGGGCCAACAGCCAATAGGACTGGCCACTACCTCAGAAGAGAAACTTATTGGCTCAAGGGACATCGTTGACATACTTTTTTTCCCTAAATTTGTTGTTCATATAACACTCAAAGACTTCCGCTTCTGCACACTTC